GGGCAAGCAGTACCATTAGTAAGATATACACCAACTCCTTCAGTAAATAAACAGAGATATACTGCAAGCAATCAGAATTACGATGAGAAAATAAGCAAATGGCATTCACCGAACAAACTTCCAAATCAACTGTAGGAGACAGGAAGCACAACAAACTGCACCCAGATTTACGAGGCATGGTCTAAGCCTGAACCGTAAGAACAGGGAGTCATACTGTACCCAGTATTACAAGCAGGAAAAGAACAATTTTATCTCAACCTGAGAACAGGAAAGAAACATTGTGCACCCAGCCTTACAAGGAGGATGTGGAATGCCTGCCCAACCATAGGAATAGGGCAACATATGTCCTATAACCACCATTACGTGGGAGACAAATTCCCTGAGCTCAACTTCCTGTAACCAGAATTATTGAGAAGTGGGCATCTACTGGTTAGAACTGTAGGAACAGGGTGCTATCTACCTGAACTTGTTATTACGAGGAGGATCCAGCATTAGCTGGTTCAGCTCCCACCAACATAAGCACGGCTAGGATTAAACCTCTAGCGGGTAGGAGGGTTCCCAGATTTGTCCTTTTCTCAACATAGTGGAGTGAAATGTAATGTTATGATATGTGATCCACACTCATGAAGAAGCCTCCATGGTTTACCACCTCAGCACCTAGGAATTGGTAAGTAGCATGGAGTCCCAAACTCCACTCGAGGAAGGGAGGAGTAAAACGTGTTGGAGAGTCTGACGGGATGTGACACTGGAGAAAGTGCAATGGGTGACCAGGAAACCCTATTTTGAAAAGCAGACTGCTCTTGATTTATTCAATCAAAAGAGTGGCACAAATTGGCAGCAATCCTCTTATATTAAGTATGGTAGTATTTAATAGTAGGGATTGACAAGGTTTCCAAATAATTCATGCACAAAAAACTACCCTATTGAATTCCTAAGCGAAAAACCAACCATTCAAAAAATTGATTACAATATATTATGTGTATATATACTAATAATATGCTATAAAGGTCATTAGCCTTTCTGGTATAACAATTCAAAAATTTCTAAAACAGCAACTTTTTCGTCTACTACCTACCTACCTGATCACGTCAGTGGGGCTAGCCTCCAGATGGCTCACACTATCACTACAAGATTTCTCCAGCTTATTTGACTGGTCCGTGAGTATTCACTTTTGATATTCCAATAAATACATACAGATTTTGTTTTAAATAAATAGTAAACATATCATGCACATATTTAAATATCTTTTCAACCCAACAGATGGCACTACATATCGATGGATAGACAGGTAACAGTATACTTTATCTTGGTATAACAGAAAGTGTAAACAAACAATATTATTAAAAAATTATAAATTTGAAAATGAAGTATGGGTCCTGCTATAAAAAGTAATGAAAAAGGAATTAAAACCACAATCATAAATTTATAAAATTTAATCTCTACTTTGACAGCTTTATACACTTATCTATAGGCCAAAGTAAGGACTAAATTTTACAAATTTGTGATTGTGGTTTTAATTATTGTAAAAGTTATAGATATTGGGGATATGGCTATACTGTAAGTTTACAGATGTTGTGTCCATTACATGGACAAATAAATATAAAAAAATTTTAACGGAAAGTAGGTATCATTGGTTATTCTTAGAATTGCTATAAGAAGTATTCAAAACAAAATAAATGCTGCAATAAAAAGTACACAAACAAGTAAAGGGATACTAGTTGGATAGATTTTAAAATGATTTTCAATTCCTACTTTGGTTGGCAAATTTATATATATATATACTTGTGAGTGGATTCCAACCTTTAGCTACTGAGTGATGTGTTCTGAGCCACCAGAATCACAGTGAGAAAATAAGCAACATTGAAGTGAACAAACCTTCTCCTCAACCTGAAGAAGTCCAAAAGGCAACACCCTAAACTCAGAATGAAAGGATCCTGTAATGAAACAACTCAACCAGTCTGAAATTATGAACACTCATCCTCACTTCTCAACTGCATGAACAAGGTGAATTCCACTTTTCCCTAGAATTATGGGGAGGATGTGGAGCAAACTCTGCTCAAGCAAGGACCCAGGATGGGACTGCTCTGCATATGGAATTACGAGGAGACAATGGACCATCTTCTGTAAACAATATACTGAACCCAAACTGATTAAAAAGAAGGGCCACGCTCAACTCAATTGGGTAGCCAAGCGTCAAATCTGAACCGGTGATATGAGTAAACTCCCGTGAAGATTGGTGCCTCTCCTACCAACATCTAGGAACAAAAACATCCAGGGTCCCAGATAGGAGAGCCCCAAATTTCACCCTCTTCTCCAACAGTGGAGGAAATTTATTTGAACACTCTGGAGGAATAACCTCTGTACACGACCCCAGTGACTAGAAACTGGGTGTGGTAAGAACTCCCTAGCTCCAATAGTAGAATATGAGAGGGGTAATGCACATTGGAGAGTCCTGAGTAAGAGAGCTCTGGAAACAGGCCAGCAGCAACCAAAAAGGAAACCTTAAGGGAAAGGTGATGCACATTACATGAGGCTAAGAGCTCCAATGGATGTTGAGAAAGAGTATGTAATACCACCTAAATATCCCAGTTAGGTAACTGAAACAGTAATTTTGGATGAAGGATCCAAAATGACTTAAGGAGGCTGGAGATGGCTGATCTCAATTTGGCCTCCTGCTGGAAAAAGCAAATCTAAATTCTATTTGAAATGTTCAGGATCACCCGCAAATGCAGCCTCAGAGACCCCTAGAGAAACATCACCAGACCAAATATATGTCTCTCCACCGCACTATGAATAAGGTCACGGACAGCCTCAACTGAGAGTGACCCTACCTCAGAGAGGTCAATGAAATAAAAATAATAAATATATATAGATTAATAATGTTATGAGATTTAAGCTATTTAAACTAAACATTTCCTTGTTATAATTTGTAGGTATTTTAGAATGAGAAAAGCACAACTTATATCTATACACCTGGAAAAAAGTTAAGCACCCCCGTGTTTTTTTCAAGTGATTCAGATTCGACATTCTTGTGACTGATTATAAATTAC